AGCATTTGTTATTGGCTGACTTCCTGATGTTAGCCACTCTTTCCGAGGTGAGATAGAACCTCAGTGTTGTTTTAATTTGCATTTCTCGAATGACCAATGATGTTGAACATTTTTTCATACATTTACTTGCAATTTTAGTCCTTCACCTGAAAAGTGTATATTCATCTCAGATGCCCATTTTTGGATTGGGTGGTCCTGATTTTATTTTTTATTTCTCTCTATATTCTAGATAGAAGGCCTTTGTCAGAGGGACAGTTGGTTGTTGGAGATTTCCTTTGAAGTGCAGAAACTTTTCAAAAAGGGAGATCCCAATTGTTGATTCTTGGAAGTATTTCCTGGGTAGTTTGGTTTTTGTTCATGAACTCTTTACCTACCCCTATGTCTTTAAGATTTCTACCTACATTTTCCTCTAGAAGATTTAGTGTTTCTGTTTTAATGTTTAAATCTTTGATCCATTTTGACTGTAGTTTAGTGTACAGTGATAGATATGGGTCTAAATTTAGCCTTTGGAATGTGGAAAGCCAGTTCTTTGAGCAGCATTTATTAAAGAGGCTATCTTTCTTCCAGTGAACAATGTGCGGAGGCCGAGTGTGTTTGTAGTTCTATATGCTCTTCTAATTTGTTCCATTGATCTGTAGGTTTGTCTCTATGCCAGTACCATGCTGATTTTATCACAGAAGTTTAATAGTATAATTTCAAGTCTGGGATTGTGATACCTCCAGCCTTTCCTTTGATTCCCAGGATTGCTTTTGATATTCTGGGTCTCTTCTGGTTCCAAATGAACTTGAGGAAAGCTTTCTCTAGCTAATTGAGGTATGCTAATGGTATTTTAATCAGGATTTCATTGAATCTGTGTAACAATTTTGGGAATATGGGCATTTTCACTATGTTGGTTCTTCCTATCTAGGAGCATAGAATACACCACAACTTTTTTTATCCACTCCTCAGTTGATGGGCATTTGGGTTGTTTCCAAGATTTAGCTATGAAAGATTATGCTACTATAAACATGAGTGCACATATATCACTGTGGTATGATGCTTTCAGTTCTTTTGGAAAAATACCCAGGATAATAGCTGGATTGAACAGGACCACCAATCCTAGCTTTTTGAGGAATCTCCACACTGATTTCTATAGTGGTTGTACCAGTCTACACTCCCACCAGCAGTGAAGAATGGTTCCTTTATCCCCACAACCCCTCCAGCATGTGTCATTTGTTGACTTCTTCCCACCCACCCCACACACTGGTGGCATTTTAGTTTATTTCTATTTTTATTTTCATTTTTTGTCCTGTTGGAGGTGAATATTCTATTGACATCTAAATACTATAGATGTTTGAATTCAACTAAACAATCTAACATTGTCTAGCACATTTGTTGACTTCTTAATGATAGCCATTCTTTCTGGGATGAGATGGAATTTCAGTGTTGTTTTAATTTGCATCTCTCAAATGATCATCTCTCTCTCTCTCTCTCTCCCCCCTTCTCTCTCTCTCTCTCTCTCTCTCTCTCTCTCTCTCTCTCTCTCTCTTATTCTCTTTAAAAATAAAAGAAAGTATGTATCACAAAGAACCTCCTCTGAAGCATTTGCTAGATCATTTACTGCAGCAAACCGAAAAATTAAAGAGTAGGGAGAGAATTGTAGAAAATATTTGATGGTAATCATTAAAACTAGTTAAGCATGATATTGTAAACTGTTACATATAGGGTAACAAACCTAAATGTAAAAACAGATTTGTAAGTTAGTTCTAAGATTTTTCAGTTTTTACAGTTTTAAACTGTGGAAGGGCATGGAAAATATCCATTGTATTTGCCAAATAGTTTTATTTTTTCCATATAGTATTGTAGAACAAGATGTATGCTGGTCAGCTAAGTGTATGTTACACAGATAAAACTGCTCTATCACTGTGGACAGGACAGTTAAGACGCTCTTGTTAATCTAACAAAATTGGAAAATGGTACAGTTTTGTTTCCCTTTCAAAAAAAATAATTAAGTTTATAATGTGCATGCTGATAAGGAAAAAATTCCCAAAGCACTGCTGGAGAGAGTTGGGTATGTTTGAAACACTGAATTGGAACATCAGTTACCACATCAGAGAGGAGTTCATATGAATCAATTTCCATGAAGTTGTGAGCAAAAGTAGGATATCAACATTTCACATTTCCTGAATTGAAAAGAAGTGAAAAACTAAAAGGTAGCAAAAGAAAAACATCAAGGAAATCTTAAAATTTGCAGAAAAATGTCAACAGACATAGAGGTGAATTAAACCCAGGAAGTGGTTAAATTTCTAGTTAATAAGATACCAACTGAGCCAAAAAAATGTCAATCTCTAGGGCCAGCCAGATACCTCAATGGATTAAAGCACCTGCTTAGGCAGATGCAGGGGCCAGGGGTTGATCCCCAACTTGCTGTGCGAGCCCCACCTCCGGGGTACACTGAGATGGTGAATGGGACTGGGCGTGGTGGCACACACCTGTAATCCCAGTGCTTGGGAGGCTGAAAACAGGGGGATCACTATGAGTCCAATCTGTGTAGTGAGATCCTATAGACCCTGTAGACCTTGTACTAAATACATTTTTTTTAAAAGTCAATCTCTGATCTTAGATACTTGGGGCTGGAGAGATAGCTCAGCAGTATAGCTCAGCACCACAAGGTGCTGAATTTGATCTCCAGTACCAAAAAATAAAGATTTGAGCTAATCTTAGGGTTTCAAGATCATAAAAACTCTTTAGGTCATAGAAATGAAGGGCAACACTTTTATTAAACAGAACTAACATATTACAAGATATTTCACATTTAAGAGACTTTCTGTGGTATTCATATGTAAATTTCTGTTTAGTATCTTAATGTGGGTGGGTGTAACAGTACTTTAATTTTACTGTTGTAAACAGATATGCATATATATTTTTAAAACACATTTGTTTTTTATGTTCTTGGAGAGGGATTTTTTTTTTTTTTTTTGGCTAGTTCAGATTGCCTTAAGATTGGGTTTGGGGTGGTTTGTGGAGCTGGGGATGGAACCGCGGTCCCCAACGCCTGACTGCATTTGCCCAATCTGTGCTTTGAACAACTGAGCTATCCAGCAAGCTCCATTTTTTATGTTCTTATGTGCATTTTATGTTCTTAAAATCCTTCAACTAAGGAGAATGCATGTAGAGGGGGAAAAAAGAACACCCACACTCTGTCCAAATAAATTCCTTTGGAGATAAGTTCTGGATCAATTCAGCTTCAGTCAGTGGGATGATAGAAGAGCAATAGAGAAAATACACCCATGATACTTCCCAATGTGCCCACATGCATAGCTGTCAGTGACTTGTCTATATTTCATAAAGGCCCAGAGGGCTTATATTCGGAGTGTGACATTCAGAAGTGTCACAAAGAAACAGCCAACGATAAAGACGAATGTAAAAGCTATTCTCACATTACCTCATCAACCCAATGAAGTGTTGCCCTTCATTTCTATGACCTAAAGAGTTTCTATGATCTTGAAACCCTAAGATTAGCTCAAATCTTTATTTTTTGGTCCTGGAGATCAAATTCAGCACCTTGTGCTCTTCTTATACTGCTGAGCTATCTCTCCAGCCCCAAGTATCTAAGATCAGAGATTGACTTTTAAGTAATATCAAATATCATTCCTAGAACTCCAGTGTATGACCCATAGCAATACCTAATAAATTCCCATCCTGCCTTCCACCATTGCATGCATATGCCCATTTCCTGAAACTCAGCCTATTAAAAACTATCTTTGTCCCTCTCCTCTTTCATAGGTGCTCTATGTCACATAAATAAACCCATCCCCTTCATCTTCTATTTTCTTTCTTTCTATTATGGTTTGTGTCTAGTTGTCCCCCCCCAAAGCCTCATGCAGTCATGGAGCAGACTTCTAGACTTTGTGATTAATTCTTGATCCAGTGGGATTATGGGTATGAGTACTTCCCCCAGCCTGGGGCAGATAGTCTGAATGCACCTTAAGGGAAGCAGACTTGCTGTCTGCAGCCATTGCTGCTGCTACTTCTCCATTTTGCTCTCTGCTCTTTGCCACCACCATGAACTGCTGCCCTCTGCCATGTGCTCTTTGCCTTGGAGCCAGCTGAGTATGGACTGAAACCTCCATTAGCTGTGAGCTAATAAACCTTACCTTCCTTCATTTTGAGTGGTGGGTATTTGTCCCAGCAACAAGAGAAAAGTAACCAAAACGTTCTTCCTTCCTTCCTTCCTTCCTTCCTTCCTTCCTTCCTTCCTTCCTTCCTTCGTTCTTTTCTTCTTTTCTTTTTTCTTTCTTTCTTTCTTTCTTTCTTTCTTTCTTTCTTTCTTTCTTTCTTTCTTTCTTTCTTTCTTTCTTTCTTTCCACTTTTGGTCATTACCCTGATGTTTCCCAGCAAAGCAGAATCAAGGAACTAACCCGCCTAGCAAACTTCCTCTTCTTCCCTTGAACCTCTCCAGTCCTTATTCTCAGCTCTCCTAACTACATGAAAACAAGGACAGGAACAAAGCTTGGGAAACCAGAACTCTCTCAAGAGCTGGGGTACACAGTCTGGAACACAGATTCATACATCTGCCACTACCACACACAGAACACGCCATTCAGGAAGCACAAGTTGATGAGTTATAAACTGTTCCTGTGCATCTACATCCTGATGTATTGCCCCTTTAGGAGGACTAATAGTGTTATAAGGCAAAACAGCTCAAAAACAATTCTGTAATTCTTCAACCGAAAATTAAAATTAGTGAGTAACACTCAATCATATTTCTTAGTTACATCTAAGAACCCAATTTCAGGCTCTGAGTGTGGCACTCGTAGGCAGAGATTTGCTAAAGAGAGTTTAATATGGAACTTTCAGAAATCAAAAGCTATTCCACAGCTTATGAATTTTCCGGCAAGCTCATAGGTGCATCCTGTTGTTACTGAGCGAGATCTCCTCAGAAATTCTCAGGTCCCAGCTTCTTCGCTCCTGGAGAAGAGCGGTGCTACACTGGTTGTGTCTGCTTTTGCCTTCCTCAGTGGTGTGAGCAAAATGAACAGTGCGGACGACTTCACCTGCCTGAGCTCTTGGTGGCCCCACTGCACAGGCTGACCCGATACCCCTTGCTGCTGAAGAACATCTGGAAAAGGAGTACAGACTCTACAGAGAAAATCATGATCTACTCCATCAAGGAGAAGGTGGAAAAGGCACTTCGTAAGTCCCTGATATATGGGAGCTTAGTGAAAAAGTTGGGGAGCCCTGTAGTTCCCATCTGGAAGGTAATTCCATGGACTTAAGGTCATGACCCAGAAACAGAATCTATATTCGAGTTCCCTATAAACCAGCACACATAAAGCCATGGGTTCCAATAACATCCTGGTGAGTGGATGGGGACTCTACTATCAAGTTCCCACAGGGCATGGCTCTGCGTCCAAGGGTTTCTGAAGTGAGTTCAGGCAGGAAAAGTCCTGCTTCCTGAATCACCGATGTTGCTTTGTTGTTCAGTCCATTCTGAACCCACACACAAAACAAGCAGGTGTAGACACCCTCCCTATCTGGAGGGTAAATTACCAGTCCTCATTTCTTCCTGAAATCGAGGCCTAATGTTATGTCACCTGCAGTCTTTAAAACTGAAATTTAGGAGAGAGCTGAGTACGATGACATAAGCTTACTTAGGTAGTTCTGTATAACTGAAATTCAAACAAGGAAGTCCATGGTAATTATCCATAAATATTTCCCGGTGGCTGTCAAGAGGGACAGCACAAAATAGCTGTTGTCAACTGCACAAAAAATAATATATTGGTGCTCTTCTGCAGACTTGAAAGTTAAGCAACAGTTGAATGTAGGTTCTGTCCTCTTTTTCCATTTTTTCTTCAAATTCCAAAAGGACCTAAAGGATTAGAATTAAGTTTATCAAGTGAATGTGAAACCTGTTTTTTTCTACTAAAAACAGGTTTGTTTATTTTTTGTTTTTTTTGTATTTTAAGGAAGGGTCTACAGGGTGTTCAGGGTCTCACTACTAGATCAGACTCATAGTGATCCACGTGTTTACAGCCTCCCAAGAGCTGGGATTATAGATGTGCACCACCACACCCAGTCTCAATCACTGTCTTACCATGCCCCAAGGACTGGCCCTGCACAGCAGACCCAGGGATCAAACCCCCGGCCCCTGTGCCTGCTTAAAGACATTTTAATCTGTGGAGCTATTTGGCCGACCCTAAGACCAGCTTCTAGAAACTTCTAAAATAATTTGAAGGATTTTACTCCATTGGATATTAGTGAGAAAGATACAAGCAAACTGTCTAGCAACTACTCAATAAAAGATAGATTCTCATTGTGGAAGGAAGAGATCTGAGTGGCTTCTCTTTATGTTTGTTTTCTTAAAGATGAAAATTTCGCAAGGGTTCAACTAGCTATATGATGTTAGGGGTCTATAATTAGTTCATATATTTTCAAAATTCATTTCAAATCCGCAATAGCAACATATTACTGAAAATTTAACTCAAATATTCCAAAGACAGATTGAGTTCTCACTAACGATATTGTCACATGAAAAGTTTTGCTTGATGATCAGGACAAGAATCCAATTTTTTTTCCTTCCTCTACTTAAAGGCTATGTGTGCCGTGAGGCACATAACAAAAAAAAAAGTTACCAAAAGCTTCATTAGTGTTGTTTTCCTCTGCAAGCAAAAACTGCAAGAGGTTGATTTCAAATTAATGAGTTTTCTCAGACATTTACCCAGCAAGAAATATGTCAGAAGAATTATAATTATGGTTTAGCTCCAGGGACAGTCAGTAACTCTAAATGATTACTGCGTATGTTGCTTACGTTTATGCTGAAGTGCTCTGTGCATTTAAAAATATGTTGGATGTGTCTTGTCTTTCAGGGGATCTTGAAGGAAAAGTGAAGTGGTTGGACAATTTCCAAAAATTTAGACATCTACAGGAGATTATAATGTGGCCTCCACTTTGGGACAGAGATAAAAGGTTTTTCATTCCAGAGGTACAAAAAAAGATCAGTGAGATTCATGTCCTCTTCTGGAAGGCTGGCACTCTGGTATATAGTCTTACAAAGTCCCCAGCTGTCCGCTTGAATGATAAATCTTATTTCATGAGCAAAAGGAAAGCCCTCAGCCGTACGGTTCTGTGTGGGGGGAGGCTATTTTCAGGATGATTTCTCTCAGAGCTTTGACCCCCCCTTTGCCGTTCCCATGTCTATTTTTTGGTACTGTGTTTCTAAATATCTTGAAATTTCTAGATGTAGTTGATCACCCCAGCTCCTTGAGTATGATCTCTTCCAATCACTAACCTCATCTCTTATTTTCTCCCTTGTTTTGCAAGTATTTGAAACACATTTTTAAAGAACACATGGCAGAAAACATCTTGTCACCAACCAACAGGCACCTTCTCTATGAAGGAAAATTAACTCTTGCAGGTAAATAATGATTTGCTTAAAAAAAAAAACAACAACGAAAAACACCATCTTTGCTACCTGATAATTTGTTCAACTGTTGTTATTTAAAGGGCAGGGAGAGTTGTGCTGACCTAGGTGCAGGATGATAGAACATGCCAATCGGAGAGGCCCCAGCTGAACAGAGAATACACGGTGTAGCTGTGTGCCCTCCAGTGTCTCTCTATAAAATGGAGAGGTCACTCGTAAAGCTGCTATTTAAGCAAAATGTCATACACAGGGCCAGGGAGATGGCTCAGTATAATAAGTGCTTTCGTGGCAAGCGCAAGGGCCTGAGTTCAAACCCTGGTTACACACACACAAAAAAAAAAAGTCATACACAAAGAGTTTAGCCCAAGCTCTGGTGGGTAATAAGCACTCGCTCATACCTGTTGAATGGCACAGTCTGTGTTGGCCAAATTCCAGCCCAGAGGAGACACCGTGTAATGGAGCATCATATCAAGGTTGAAGGCAGTGGGCCTTGGACTCGGAGTTGGGTACAAATTTGATGAGGTAGGGTTAATATTGTTAGAACTACAATGTGGGGAAAGCACTGAGCCAGGAATCAGAGAGCGGAGGGCTCTGTCTCAGGGGTAGTTCATGCTGAGCATGTGCCAGGACCTGAGTTCAACGCCCAGCACCAAACACAACAAAACAACAGGGATCTACAGCCAACGTGGGTTTTGGTATACTGTGAATTCCTTTAATCTCCTTTCTTTTTTTTTTTTTTTTTCCTTCCTTTTTTCTTTCTTTCTTTTTCGGTACTGGGAATCGAACTCAAGACCTTGTGCTTGGCAGGTTCAGGCAGGCACTGTGGCACTGAGCTACATTCCCAGTCCTCTCCCCTCTAAATGTTGGTGATGAGGATGACAGTGACAAAACTTAAATTTCCACACTTCTGACAGTGTTTGACACGGTGCCCTGAAGGAGCTGGCTTTCCTGCCTTTTACAGCTCAAGCCTCAGTCTTCACAGAGGCATGGTTCCCTGAGAACTGGTGTCTGTCAGTGTAACAGTTCAGACAGATAGGATGATCCCAAGACTATGACACCCAAAGGTCACATGCTGCCCAGGCTATTGCTGCAGGGGAAACAGCAGCACCTGGGCTCCGTACTGCACCTGGAGCACAAGATAGGGCCGAGGGGAGATGAAAGTGCACAACACGGAACCCCCAGGTCAGGCTGCTCAGCACTTAGGGATCCTGGGAATCAGAAAGCTTTCCATTGGGCTGCGTGAGCCTCACGCTAGAGGGAGTGAGTGAGTCAGCATGAAAGGGTCCAGTCGCTCCTCCTCCTGCCTCTGAGACCACCTTATTTTTTTTTTCTTCTGTCACCACCAGTTTCCAAATCTATCTTGTATTTATTGCTTACATGTCGATTATGCATCCAGTTTTGCAAGTGTGGAAACACTGGATGTCAAAATTTGAATGCTTTTAAGTGCAATTTGGATTGTATTTAATTCCCCCTGGAGTTAAAGCCCCTGAGGCAGGAGTACTGCCTTCATCCCCAGGCACGGGGGCTTGCTGTGAGTTGACTGCTTGGGGGACCGCTCGGGCTTTCTAAAAGGTGACTAAAATAATCACGGTCCCAGAATGAAGTTACCAAGAAGGTGTGGGGAGCCTGCTTGTTCAAATGAAATACTTGAAATTAAGAAGGCAGCTAAGAACTATTTCATTCTGACAGGGACCATTAAGCTACACAAGCAGCAGAGGGTGGGAACACCAGCTTCGCAGGCTCAAAGGCTGCTGTGGACAGAACAGTTTCCCCACCCCATGCTTACACTGAAG